TTAGTGAGAAGAAAGTGGTAAGAAGTGATAATGATGGGTGATGAAGTGACAAGGAAGTTATAATAATGTTATCATGACGTGAGAAAGACGTGAGAGATCTGATGATAAAGTGAGAATGGAGTGAGTGGAGTGAGAAGAAAGTGCGAAGGAAGTGAGAGGAGTGAGAATGAACTGAGAATGAACTAAGGAAGTTATTATACAATGAAAATATAGTGACAATCAAGTGACAATAATAATTTAATAAGTGAGAACAGAGTCAGAAGAAAGTGGGAAGGAAATGAGTATACAGTAAAAATCAAGTGAGAATATAATTTTAATACGTGATAATAAAGTGTAAAAAAATGATAATGAAGTGGTAATGAAGTGACAAGGAAATTATAAGAATGCTATTATAAAGTGATGATGAAGTGACAAGTAGGTGATAATAAGGTTATAATGAAGTGTCAATCAGGTGAGAATACACTGAGATTAAAGTGAGAATAAAGTGAGAATACACTGCCAACACTGACAACACTGACAATACTGACAATACTGACAATACACTGACATAATGTGAGAATAAATTGAAATGACAGTGATTATACAGTGACAAGAAGTGAGAATATGTTAAACTCACAGTGATTATATAGTGACAAAAAGTGAGAATATGTTAAACTCACAGTGATTATACAGTGACAAAAAAGTGAAAATAAAGTGATACTGGAGTGAGATCACAGTGAGAATGAAGTGATACTGAGAGAATACAGTGAGATTACAGTGATATGTGATTATACACTGACAATACACTGACAAGACACTGACAAGACACTGACAAGACACTGACAAGACACTGAAAATAAAGTGACAATACACTAACAAGAAAGTGAGAATACAGTGGTTATACACTGAAAACAAAGTGAGAAGAAAGTGAAAATTAAGTGAGAATTAAGTGAGAATACACTGAGATATTAAAGTGATAATAAAGTGCGAATACACTGAGATTAAAGTGAGAATAAAATGAGAATACACTGTCAAGACACTGCCAACACTGACAACACTGACAAGATTCCGGCAATCTTTTCAAGATTCTGACAAGCCACTGATAATCCACTGACAACTTACCTTGAAATTACAGTGATGCACGGTGAGCGTACCAAGCGAGCAAACAATAGAAACTAGCTCATCTGCAGATGTATGTCAGCAGTGCGGGGAACATGGAACACGGCAATTAAAAAATAATAAAAAACATAAAGGGCAGGCTGGGGCTCACCACTCCCGCTCAGAATAATTTCCACTCTTCCTCCACGGTGTGCTGCTGGTGTGGACATTGATGGCCAAAAAAAAAAATAGATGGCCTCGCTTACCCTGCCGCGGCACCGGGCCGCACCCAGAATACCGGGCCGCACCCAGATTCTGGCCCCGCAGTCCAGGGCCATCGATAGCCAAACACCCACCAAGTCCGGACACAGGCCCTGTGATCTCGCATAAAAAAAAAATAACCGCCGCCCCAAACCCAGCATGTCTCTCTCCGCAGCATGTGATGACTTGCTCGCGCTGGGGCTCCTCCAGCACGAATACGGTATCCCCACACTATGGCCACGCACGGCCCCCGTGGTGCAGAAACCTGACCTTGAAGCGGAGTACTATGCCTTGAACCAGACGTTGGCCACACGCGTCAACAGGGTGGTTTTCTTGAACAAAATCGCAGAGCTACGCCAGGCAGACCCGCAGGCCGTCGGCGAAACGTATGCCGAGGCCTTCCGCTCGGGCGTGGTCGCCCACATGTCGTTTGCCGAAAAAGAGCGCCATTTGCAAGGCATGGCCGCGTTCAAAACGGCCGAGTTGACCGCTGGTTTCCTCGCCGCGGCGCTCCCGGTCCTCCGGTCCATATACCAGGATAACCTGGCGCTCACAGACGCCGAGTTCACCATCTTGAACAACCTCAAGAAACTCTACTCGCACTACAACGAGCACCCAGCCAACATCCAGCGGCTCTTGGCAGAGTACAACACGCAGAAAGCGGCTGTTGGCGCCGAGATCCGTGCCCACAGACAAATCCACGATTTCTTGGCCACAGACTTGACTCCCAATCTCGCGGAGCTCGAGGCGTTGAACAACGAGTACTTGGCCTTGCAAAACACCTACGACAACAAGCTCGGGGCACGAGAAACGGGCTCCCTGGACCCGCTGCTACAGAAACTCAAGCAGGCCTGTCTCACGCTCTCGCGGCGGTTGACCCGACTCGGCACTCTCTGTGAGTTCCTACCGAACTTGGTGCTCTGCCAGGCCTCCAACTGGTACGCAGACAAGGCGTTGTTGGCTGTGGTGCAAGAATGCCAGGACCTCGCCGAAACGCTCGCGGGCTTCCCGGACGCCAGAGAGCTCGGGCTGGCCGACGAGATCTTGAAGGTGGACTTTGCCGGGCTCGACTTGTAGGCCCGCATCCAGGGGAAATGGTCCATCGTTACTGGGCTGCGCCCGGGGCTATATACATTATTTACACCTGGAACATTCTCTTGTTGATGACGTCCCAGTTGATGTGGTCAAGCACCCTCTCCAAGTACTCGCGCTTGCCGGTGATTCCGTAGTCGGTGACGAACGCCACGTCCCAGAAGTTGATGGCCAACACGGGGAGCGTGAAGTCCAATTCGGCGTTGTCGCCCTTCTGCTTTATCTGCGTCAATTCCTCGAAACTTTGCGGGTCGATGTTGGCGTTCAAGTCGAGGCTCTGGTTCTTGCCGTGGTAGTATGGCGTGCCGTCGTTGTTGCACTTCAAGAGTCTGAACGACTTGTCGGGGTCCTCCACCAAGAAGACCCAGCCCTGGCCCTCCGCCGACTCGGCCAAGCGGATGATTTCTGTTTTGAGCGAGTCCAAGGACGAGCCCCCGGCGATTCTCTCGAGCAAAAACCGGGACGGTCTTGTGGAAGCCGCGTGCTCCTTGTCCGCGAGCTGCTCGAAGAACATGTGGTTGTTGTGGGCCTGCGACGCATAGTGGAAAATGTGCTGGTCCGTGGTTCTCTTTGCCGTCAGCAACAACAACTGGAACGCGGAGCGGCCCTCGTGCCTGGTTCCCACAGTATTCAATGTGAGGCTTGTCGTGAGCAATTTCTGGTAATCTGACCATGCGGTGGCATATCCTTCTGCCGAGTATAAACCTTGGATGCCGTTCTTGGCGAATGTCTCGTGGTTCTTCAACACGGGCACTTCGTGCAACATGCGCACCGCGGCCACGTGCTGGTTCTTGGAAATGCTCGCCGTGTGCCTGATAGCTCTGGAAAACATGCTTTCGTGTTTGCGGGTGTAGTTGGTGTGATCTACGGAAACAAGCCAGGCTTTTTTTTTTGTCTAACCTGGCGTTTTTTTCCAGTTGGTGCAGTGTGCACGGAGGCGATCGCGGAACCAGCTGCGAAAAACGGTGCCAGGAAGGCCAGGCTGCGAAAACATTGGGGACAGGCCCCAAACGTGGCGGCACGTTCGTGCTGGGGGGTTTGGGTGCCTGGCGCTTATCTTGCCGAAATCTAGCAAAATTCTTGCGTGGGACAAAAAACGTGGCATCGAGACTTGGGCTGGCCCCACTCTTTCTCAAGGCCTGAGTCCTTGTTAACTGGTCGGCCTCCACTGCTTCCTCTCCGGGTTCTTCCGTCCTGTGCCTCCTCTCCAGACTAAAGCCCTAACATGCTGGAACAGCATGTGCCGCAAAGCCAGGACGCTCATACGTTCTCCATGACTTCCACCTCGCGCAGCACAACGGGCGTGTTCTGCGAGACCCAGTTGGAGTCCCGAAGGAGCTTTTTCGGGTCGGTGCTTCGGCCGCTTACTTTGCCCAAGAGCTCGTCGTACAGCGCCTGCTGCGTCTTGTACTCCCGCAAGACAACGTTGGTCTCGAGGTCAATGTAGACACGCGTGTCGCGGATTCGAAACGCAACGTCGTCAACCCGCATGGAGAACCTGCAAAGCAAAAGCAAACACGAGTGCATGACCCTGATTTTCGTCGAGAGCATCGAGATGCCGTTGTCGCCCAACTCGTCCTCGAACAAAATGGACTCGTCGTAGAAAAGAATCGGGTCTGGCCGCACGAGTTTCTCTAGCGGGATGTCCTGGGCCGTCTTCGTGAAGGTGCAGCGCGACAACGTGCCCCTGTAATTGGTGGAGTACGTCCAGTCGTACGGCTTCACGGATTGCAATTCGGGCGACGGGCTGGGTGTTTCAGAGCCCATGGTTATCTGGGAGAAGGCAGCCGCGCCGCTCGATATGGTGGACCGTACCAGCTCGCTCGGCACAAAGGACCCGTCCGCGGTCGCTACGCTTCCAGTATCCGAGGTCTTGGCTTTGGGCCTGGTGCTGAGCCACTCCTTGTAATATGCCACCTTGAAATCCGCGGTGGGGGCAAGAGAGTCGAGTGCATCGAGAGTGTTGAAGTCGATCCGTGCGCCCGTCTTTTCGTTCACAAGCAACACGCGGTTGTTGCCAAAGATCATCTCGGGCAACGGGAAGTCGAACCGCGTGTCGTTCAAGTGGTCGAGCTCTTCCGACAGGCAGATCGGGCCCTTGCTGGTGTATATACTCCAGTCGTTCACCGTTATCGAAGGCTGCTCGCGAAGCGGCAAAGTGGCCTTGGGCGACGGGATGACTACTGTGCCACAGTGGGCACACCGTGGGTTTGTGCACGGTCCGGTGTGTGACGTTGCAGGCACTGAAACCTGCGCCGTTGTCCAAGAGCACGCATCCAGCGACCGGCCGGCCGCATGTGCGCCCAAGACATGGCCCCCAGCAGGCTCTGGTGCCCGGGCAAACGACATGGTGTTTTTGGGCAACCCTACCGCAGTTTCTGGCCGCTCCTTCGAGCCGTGTGGGCCGGTTTCGTGGGTCTTGGGCCGCGGAATGTTGAAAGGGGCGTTGCTCGAGCGGCCGGGGCCCGGGCCACGCGGGGACAAGTGTGCCATCTCCGCCAGGACCGGGGCCTTTGCCCCCGGCGCGGCCCCGCTGGTCTCCTGCCGCATGCGTTGGTGTATTGCCAGACTGGTTTGGTGCCGTTGTGGGTTGCGGGCCTGTAAATGCAAGTTCACCATTTCCCGGGCTACGTTGGCATTTGCCCCCGCAGATCTAAGCAGTGCGGACGTCCCAGTGGGCACTGGTTTTGTGAACTCTTGGTCGTCAGGCATTGTCGATGTTTCGTGGCGTGGAAAGAGGGAGAGACGAGCAAAATAACGCGCTGTTCTGGGGCCATGTAGCCGGGCGCCGCGTCAAGGCGCTGGCATAGAAAATGCGGAGTCGGCCGGGGCCAAGGTCTCAGAGCCGCGGCGGCGCGGGCCCCGTGGCCCTAGGGCCTAGTTTGTGCCGTGCGTGCGAGTTTCGGCCCGGACACCGCGGGAAGACATGATTCCGGGGCAGCGCCCTACGTAATATGACCGGGCAGGGCTCTACGTGATATGACCGGCGCATTTTGTAGGAAATCTATAAGAAAGTAAGGGCACTTCTAGGAATGCTCCTCGGGCACATAGCCTCAACGGACAGACAAAAAATAAATAGAAAAGCAGCGCATGGGGACGCCTCATGCTATCTGATTGGAAGCTCTCAGCACTGACCGCCTTCCGACCTCAAGCCTTCTCTCACAGCCAAGACGGAGTCTGCAATAACGGCATCCACTCCCGCTTTCATCTGGATCTTGCATGCCTCAGGATCATTGTTCTGCACTCCGTAGGTCACGCACACCAACCCAGAACTCTTCACCACCTGGGCCAACCGGGGGGTTTTCACTAAAGTTTCTGCGGCGCTGACGATCCCTAGCAAGTTCCACTTTTTGGCGAACCGGATCGCGTTCTGCAAAGAAGACGCTCTGATGTCTGCCATCACATTCGTGCCTGCCTCCGTCAAGTACAAGATCGGCATCGTAGGCTGCTTCAAAGACAACAACACGCAGATATCTGGATGGAACGACGAAAACAAGATGTCCCTGCCGGAAGTGTTTTCATCGTAGACAACCTTCAAGATTGTGTCCACGTAGAAGTTCATGTCGAATGCAAACTCGCCCATGCTCTCGTGCTGTGCCTCGTCAAGCATTGGGTATTTGAGTTCCATGTTGAAGCCAACATTCTTCGGCAACCTCTTGAAAAGCTCCTTCAACGTGACAAAGTTGGACGCAATGGACGACCCACGCGCATTTCCCTTGAACCCCTTTTCCTTCCAGGTCTTCGTGAGCTTCATTCTCCTGGCCATTTGGTCTCTAAATTCTTTGTCTAGCTCCTCTTCCTCAACGCTCGAAGTCATGTTTGGCGCTGACGGGTACGAAGACATCGACCGCGGACGGTTATACTTACCCAAAAGCTCATCATCTAAAGCAAAGTTTCTCGACACATTTCCGTTCAGCTTAGTTTTATCAAACGAAAACAACTTGGCCTTGCCATTGTCCTCGTGTTCACTGAAACCCAAGAACTGTTCTGCTGTCAACATGTGCATTGGAATATCCCCACCGCTCTCTGCAACCAAGAAATCGTGGTATATAACTGGCACGAAATCTTTGGTAAGCTGTACATCAAACTCCACATAACTGGCCCCGAGAGATGCAGCGGCGATGAATGACTCCACGGTGTTCTCGCCTAATTGCAAGGAGTTCTTGTTGTTGAAGTTCTTCCCCAATCCTCTGTGTCCAATAACTCTTGTGCTCACGAGCTGTTTCCAGTATGTGTCTGACCGGTTGATAGACATGTTTGGATGGATGAATGGCTGGATGCACATGAACTCGAACCTCACCTTACCCAAAATATCAAGAGTGTTGTGTTCCACAATCGGGACGGTGACATTATTGTTGAGAGTGCGCAAGTTCTGCCCCACGTTTGAATATGCGCTCTCAAGAAAAGCAACACCTCTTCCGAACACTTTAGGGCAATGGTTGTTCCTGGAAGTCAGAGGGTATTGGTATGTTGGCACAATGTCAAAAGTCATGTACACATCAGATATCTGCGTGTTATTCTTGAGCTTGAATATCAAAGGATCAGTGGCACTTCCGTGCTGGTCCTCCAACGGCAAGTCGACCAAAATAGAGTCCTCCACCACTGCTTTTGTGGTTTTGTTGTGGCAGGTTACAACAAGAGAGAGGGCAGTGTCCAATTCTGTGAAAAAACTCTGCGAAATCGAGATTTTGTTCAACTCCACTGCGCTCAGCTTGTCTCGGGTATCTGTTGTGCCAAGTGTGATCAAAATGAGCTGCTCGTCTTTCCCCAAAAATCTGTGACCAAACGACTTGATCGGTTTCATCTTCCGTCTGTTCAGCGGAGATCTGGAACGCGAAAGGTCTCTTGCAGAAGACATCGAGAGCGCTTCTTGTCCATCGTGTGGGGGAATGACATCGATAGAATTGCTCGAGCCATTATCTAATTGCTTGAACTGGCGGTAAACCTCGTTGACAGCCAATCTGTTCAGCTCAGGTAGCTTGTCTATGGATGAAGTTGACAAGAGGCTATCTTCGCCCACGGGGTTGATGAATGGGGAATTGGCAGCAGACACGCTCTTTGACAGCAGTGCATTGGGAACCCTCGGCTTGTTTTCCGAAGGGTCGTCGATATTGTAAAGTAGCAAGTTTGTGTCGGGCGGGGTCAACGCGTCAGCCACTGCCAAGTGACCTCTCAAAGAGGCGTGTTCCATTGGTAACCAGCCGGAATCGTCTGCCATGTGAAAAGCGGCTCCAAAGCCTTTCAACTCGTTGACCACATCCAAAAGACCCTCGGCGGCAGCAGCGAAAATGGGAGTCCAGCCAAAGACCAACTCGCCCAACTCGGTATTGGCACCGTGCTCTAGGAGATAGCGCACCAAGTCAAGGCAATTCATCTTGGACGCTATGTAGAGCGCAGTCTCGTTATTGCTCTCTGCGTCCGTGTAGTCAATGCTCACGACTTGTTCCGAAAGGAAATCCTTGACAATGTCAGCGCAACCTAGGCGGGTGGCCAACAAAAGCAAGTTGGGGCAGCTGAGCGGAACCTTCGTGAACGAGACGAGGTTGTGGCATGTTTTCGGGTGCTTGCCAATGATGGCCAAATGGAGGGGCGTGAGTCCCTCCTTGTCTCCCCACACACGAGCATCGTCAGTAGGGCTCTTCAAGTCTACCAATTCCCACTTCGAGAGACACTCGAGAATCACTTTACAGACATCCTTTGTGCCGTACTGCGCGGCGTAGTGGAGCGGCGTGCGGTGGTAGCTGTCTCTAGCGATAAGAAGCCGCTGGAGTTGCGGATGCTCCGCCAATTTGAGGAACACGTGCACCAAGCCATCGACACGCACCGGCGCAAGCAGGATGCCGTCGGGCCCGCTTTTGTTGCCGTAAAGCCTGCTCAAGTCGGAGGATTCCCCCGCAACCACCGGGCTCTGCTCTTTGCTGAGCTGTCTCTTTCCCAAAGAAACCACGTGCTGGTGGAAGAAGTTGCGGCCGCTGATCTCCTGCGGGTCCGCAAGGGCAGGCGACTCCAAGCCGTGCTGCTTGTGGAAGTCTAGAATGTACGCAAACAACATGTCGATGCAGTTGAACGAGCTCGAGAGAGTGGCCTTGTTCAACAACGAAAGCAAGAGCTTCAACAGAATCTGCTCCAGCGGCAACACGCGCAACTGCGCAATGCATAGCAGGCCATTGTCGCGCTTGATTCCCTCGTACAAGTCCAGCAAGGACTCCTTGTCGAACGAATACTTGCGGTTGTGGCCGATCCGGAGCACGTTCAAGTCCTCCACGGTCAGCTCCAAGTCAGAAACCGGCAGCGCCGACGCCAACTGCGCCTGCTGCTCGCCCAACTTGACCAAGATATCACTGATGGTCTCCAAGCCTGCAGAAAGGTCGATTCCGTTGGCAAAGGGCAAGGCATCCACGCGCGTGGAGAGATACGTGTCCTTGTTGTTGCAGGGCAAGTCGACGAGCGGCAAGTTGCGCAAGGTCTCGTCCGGGTGCTCGCTGCGCAACTGGTCGTTGGCCAACGTGGTGAGGTACGCGAGCTTCTTGTCGAGTTTCTTCAAGATTTTCACGAAGCCTTTGTGGTTCAACTCGCCGAACCACTTGAGGTTGCGGTACGCGGACCGCAACTCGAGCAAAATGGACACGATCTCGTCGAGCTCGTCCGTGGTGTCGGCAAGAAGCGAGATCTGGCCGTCCGCGTAGCCCAACACATGCACGATGCGATGGGACCGTCGGGTGTACTCGGCAAGTTTGCTGTTATAGAACTCGGAGACACGTTCGATGTCCCGGTCCAACTCGAAGAAAAACTGCGAGAGAGTCTGCGAAATGATTTCCGGGAGCTCGAGCGGCGTGAACGAGTGGTAGTTGTAGTGGCCGTCGATGGCCTTGATGGTTTTCTTCAAGTGCTTGTAGTTCATGTAGTACGTGGACCACTCCGGGATCTGGTGCGACGCAAACGTCTTGCCAAACTTCATGGTGTAGAGATATGCTGGCGGGCGTGTTTGCGGCGTTTGATTTCGGGGCGGTTTCTCCAGTTAGCTGGCTATACCTGCTGTGGGGCTTTAGTACAGAAGAGAAATCGTGGGTTCGAGTGCGCTTTGGGAGGTCCGCTATCAAACGTATCCAGGCGAGTGCGACAGCTGAGTGGTCCGTTTCTGGTGGTCCGGAAATACGTCTGGTAGCGCTCCTATTTTTTGCTTTCTGGGCGAAAAGGATAGGTTCTGGGGGGTCTTATAGTGGGGAGCCGTTTTTTTTTTTCTGGTTTTTTTTTTCTGTTCTTCTCGGATGCAATTTATTTTTTGATTCGTCTCTGATGCCCCGCTCAAGCTGCCTGTAGATTGCACCCTCCGATGGCATGCCGGTCAGGGCCATGCTTATCGGTTATGAGGGCGGAATGCGCCTTGACGTATAGTCTAATTGGGCACTACCCACGTGGACCACAAGTCGCCGGGATTTGATAAAAAAAACGGCATTTTGGCAAGGCCAAGGCGCTGTCCCAAAACGGTCGGAGCCTATGGCCTGGAGGTATCCAGAACAGGGTATTTGAAAAGAGAATGGTGGGCTTTTGGCAGTTGCGCTGCGGGGCCGGTGGCCAAAATAACGCGGCAATTTCAGTCCTGCTCACGGCGCCTCCACGTGGATCTCGTGGGCAGAACGCCGGATCTCACATCCCCGGCTATTTATTTAGAAAACTACATGCGGGATTTTTGTACATAAGCCACATCTTTTGCAGCGGGTAAAGTCAAACATGGACGGTGGCCTTTTCGCAAGCCAATAGCCGGGTCCATGAAGCGAGCCGTGTAATAGCACGGGCCTGCCTCTCAAGAAGTCGGTCGGCCCTAGGTGGCTTGTAGCGCAACTAATAATAAAACATTCAATGCGCTTCACATGTGCTGTTCGGTTTTCCGAAAACGTCCATCTTTGGGATGAGCGCTGGTATTTTTTTGTCGTCTCGTTGTATGATTTGTCCATGGCATAGGGGAATCGAAGTTTATGTCAAAAGTATTACATGATGAGACGCGGCTTCGGCCCGTCGCACTAACACTGGTGTCATATTGTTCTGCGGCTTCAAAAGCCCGACTCAGTCTACGCTGCTACAAGCGTCTTCCGCGGTTTCTTGCAAGTCTGCCGTTCGCTGCGTCTTGCAAGTTTGTATTTTTCTTTATAGTTTTTGTATTCGGGCTTGCGAGTGGCGGCGCACGTCGTCTCTCGTTAAATAGCTTCTATTACCTGGCCGGAATCACGGCTGACCGCCCTCGCAAGGCCCCGCTAGTGGCAAGACCAATGGGCCCAAACAGCAAAAAAACACCTGTACCATCACAACAACGTCTGGCCCATGGCACATCTGCCAATGGCGCATGCGGCGCTGACCGTGTCCAACACATGGCTGTCGTTCTCACCCAATTTCGGGTTGGTCTCCACGATGTCCAACGAGGCCAAGAGCCCGGTTTGCGCCACGTCCTCTGCTACAAACAAGCCCTCTCTCAAAGTCAAGCCCCCCTCCACTCTGGTCCCTGTAGCCGGGACGAAAGAAGGGTCGATGGCATCCACATCGTAGGACAAGTGGATGGGACAGTCGCGGTTGGGGTTGATTTTGTCCAACGCCATCTCAAGCACCTTGCCAATGCCGTATTTGTCAATGTGATACATGGAAAACGCGGGGATGTTGTGCTCCCTCAAAATCTGCTTTTCGCCCGCGTCAACGTCTCTCAACCCAATGTATGCGATCTTTCCGGGCTTCAACTTGGCCGGCACCCAGTCGAATTCGGGTGGGTACGAGCTCTTGTCGATTCCCATGATGAAGGACACGGGGCACCCGTGCAAGTTGCCCGAATCGGTCGTTTGCGGCGAGTTGATGTCTGCATGTGCATCGATCCACAACACACACGTCTCGGGGTCGTGTTCCAAGGCCGCAGCCACGGTGGCCGTGCCAATCAGGTGGTCTCCGCCAATCACAACGGGCAACTTGCCCTCGGTTCTGGCCCGGAGGCACGTGTCGAACATTTTCTTGTTGCACTCGCTGACTATGGCAGCGTTCTTAACGCCAAACAGGTCTCTGTCATCGGATTTCCTGGCCTCCAAGTCCGTGCCATCAAGGGGGTGCTCCACGGAGGTCTCCCAGCCCAACTCCTGGAGCTGCTGCTCGAAACCGGCGTTCAAAATATATTCTGGACCGAGCTCCACGCCGCCTTTAGGCTGGCCACCCGAGAAGGGCGCCGTGATGAGGCTTGCTTTTTTCAGGGGGTAGAACTTGTAGTGGGCGTCTGTACACGCGTTAGTACGGGCTGTTCTTTGCAGACCTTTTTGTGGTTGGTGGCGTTGGACAAATGGAGACATACCTGACATTGTGCGCAGTGAAAAATGGCTGTGAAGAGAGGGTATAGATTTGGTGTTTCCGGAAGCTTGGGGGAAGGAATGAAGAAGTCCACGGAGAAAGACGCAAGTATATGGAATAAATGCGATTGAAGATGTGGAAGAAAAATGTGGTGGAGATAAGAGTCCTAGAGGCGGCGGCCTGGGGCATCTTTATATCTCCACGGCTTTTGGAATCATCGGTGTCAACGCTCAGTTTTGGGTAGGCAACACCGACTGCGCGTCGTCGTTGCCTTCGCTTGGCGGCACGCGGGCCCTGGGGCGCCATACTATGACGGCACGGCTATGATGATTGATCGCTCGGCCCCAGAACAGAAACACCCGCACACCGCAGAGGGGTCTGCTCGACCAGCCGCACGCTAAAGGCAGGAGCAGGCGAGTACATGATACTGCGGGGCAAGCGGAGTCCGGGTTTCTTTTTTCGGTTGATATGTTCAAACCGTGATTGGCTTCCCGACAGGTTTTGTCAGGCGGGCTGTGACCAGGCCACAAGCTCTGATTGGAGTGGTGGCCCAAAAAGGCACCCTGAGGTTCCAGGTCCGGAAGACCGACATGTGTGCGCCACATACTAAGCATAATGATCAGAAATGTTCTTTATTTTGGGAGACTCAGCTAGTTGAAAAGTGCTGAGACATATGCATCTTGTATGACAGGTTCGAAAACCTTTCGGTCCTCGCCTGTCCTGGAATATCGAGTAGAAACACCCACTATTCCCCGGAGCATTTCTCTGCTGCCCGGAGCCCTGCCAAGTTTGCATTGTTACTCTAGAATTCGGGTTTTTGTTGCTATGGGGCAGGCTTTCATGGTGTTCTTGCAATATGCTTATTTCAGTAGTCCAACGCGAATGACGCGAACATTTAGAGTCGGATAGAAGGGCGGCCAGTGCCCAAAACGCCCATTCCCCTTTTTTTTTCGGAACTGACGAGTCCTATCACGGCCCGTGAATTTCTAGGCTTTCTTTTACGTTTGCCTCCATTGCTAGCAAACCATGCGATTATGTCTGGCGCCAGACGATCATCTGTGGCACTCAGACTTGCGCAGTGCGGCAGCTATAAGAGGCTTTTCAAAGCGTCATCGTATAAAAGGCGGGTCATCGTATACAAGGCGGGCCATTTGTATGAATGGATGAAGCTATCACATAAGTTGCAGGCCCGCAATGTAATGCAATACCGTGTCCTGTTGAACGACTTATAATACCATTCAACACCACCGGTGCAATACAATTACAGTTTTATCATGCACCGCCAGTCCTGTAAAACGCCATCACTCCATACAAGACCACCAATCTGAAATACCATCAATCCATGATGCCACCAATCTTAAATACCAATTCAAAATCCCACCAATTCAAAATCCCACCAATTTGAAATACCACCAACTCATAAAACCACTGCCCAAGTAAACCGAGCTCGGCGTGTATCTTTTTTTTTTTTGCAAAACCCCGCTCCATGCCACGATACGGTTCTTGCCCCCAACTGCCTGGCGCAGCTCTCAGAGTTTCGCCACCTCACAGTATGCGCACCGCAAACTCAGATGCAGAACGGGCCCTGGGATGCCCATGCTATAACACCAGCACAACTCTGAATCCATAACACCACTCCATCTGCCTAGTCATGGCCTTCCACACCAAGTCTTCTCTGGAATTTTCGGAGGACGAGAACTCCGATCTCAATTCGCCCATGTATCTTAACCATGATGACGGCATGGACCATACGGCTGATGACCTCGTCTTGAACTTCTCGGACTCGGACGACGACGTTCTTTCCAAGTCCCACAGTTCGGCCCACTTCTCGACCCACGAAGACCGATTCATCAAGGACCACGACTTGAAAGTTCGGGCGTTCCAGGCTCTCCAAGAACTGGATCATGAAATCCCTCGCAGCCCGAGCCAGACACTGATGAAAAGACGGCCTCTGATTATCGATTTGCCCCAGAAACCATACGGCTATCACCCCTTTCCGGCCACTGCGGCCCATAACAACAACCACACTCAGAGTCTGAAGAGCTCTGCCAACGCGCTTCCGGAAATGTACCCCTCGCTGGAGCTCATTGAATATTTCCGCAACGTCAAACAGTGCTTGAACTTGCGCCACAGCTACTTGGACAGGTCGATGCAGCGGGATGGCAACGTGAACCCAAAGAACCACCCGAACTGGAAGATATACCCGCCGCCGCCTCGCCCCACCTACAAACTGAAGAACAAGTTCAACCAGTTGCCGGGCGAGCATGTAGAGGAGGAGGCGTTTGATTTCTCCGAGGTCGAGATTCCACAAACAGACTTCCTGGCGTCCTACGAGTTGAAGCTCAACCTGGATGACGTGTACCAGGTCTACCACAAGGAAACGGGCGAGCCGTTGGGCGAAGTCACCACGTTGCATGATTACTACAACGACTTGAACAAGATTGTGCGCATTTCGCTGGACGGGCCCACCAAGTCGTTTGCGTTCAAACGGTTGCAGTACTTGGAAACCAAGTGGAACATGTACGCGTTGTTAAACGAGTTCGAGGAATCCAAGCAATCGAAGAAAAACCCCCACAGAGACTTTTACAATGTGCGTAAAGTCGACACCCACATCCACCATTCCGCGTGCATGAATCAAAAGCATCTCTTGCGCTTCATCAAGTACAAGTTGAAGACGACACCCGATGAACAGGTGATTTTCAGGGATGGCAAGTTGTTGACCTTGGCGCAGGTCTTTGAGTCCTTGAAACTCTCGGCGTACGAGTTGTCTATCGACACCTTGGACATGCACGCGCACACCGACACATTCCACCGCTTCGACAAATTCAACTTGAAATACAACCCGATCGGCGAGTCGCGCTTGCGTGAAATCTTCTTGAAGACCGACAATTTCATCAACGGTAAGTACTTGGCAGAAATCACCCAGCAGGTGTTCGAAGACCTTGAGAGTTCCAAGTACCAGATGACCGAGTTGCGTATTTCTGTATACGGCCGCTCTGAGGACGAGTGGAGTAAGTTGGCTTCGTGGATCGTCGACAACAAGTTGTTTAGTCATAACGTGCGGTGGTTGGTCCAGGTTCCCCGGTTGTATGACTTGTACAAAAGAAACGGCAATGTGCATAACTTCCAGCAAATCATGCACAATCTCTTCCACCCGCTTTATGAGGTCACGCTCAACCCAAAGTCGGATCCGAAATTGCATGTGTTCTTGCAGAGAGTGGTGGGATTTGATTCCGTGGACGACGAGTCAAAGCTGGAAAGACCGCTCAATGCCAAAAAAATGCCCGTGGCCTCTGAGTGGGATGTTCCCTTGAATCCGCCATACTCTTACTACTTGTACTATCTCCACTCGGACTTGATTGCGTTGAACCAGCTAAGGTCCACGCTCAATTTCAATACGTTTGTATTGAGACCGCACTGTGGAGAGGCAGGTGACCCCGAGCACTTGATTTCGGCGTTCCTTACATCGCACTCCATCTCGCACGGAATCATGTTGAGGAAACTCCCGTTCATCCAGTACTTGTACTACTTGGACCAAATCGGATTGGCAATGTCGCCGTTGTCGAACAACGCTTTATTCTTGACGTACGATAAAAATCCATTCCACAACTTTTTCAAGAAAGGATTGAATGTGTCATTATCCACAGATGACCCATTACAGTTTTCCTACACGAAGGAACCATTGATCGAAGAATACTCGGTGGCCGCGCAGATCTATAAGCTTTCTGGTGTTGACATGTGTGAGCTTGCAAAGAACTCCGTCCTTCAGTCTGGCTGGGAATGGGAAATTAAAAAACATTGGCTCGGCAAGAAATTCATGTTGCCCGGGGTCGAGGGCAATGACATTGAAAAAACAAACGTTCCTGACATGCGTGTGGGGTACAGGGACGAGACCTTGAAGAGCGAATTGGAATTGGTGGACTATTACACTCACATGGGCCAGGGAAAGCACTAGACTATCTGAACAACTTTCAGTTCATTTTAATGCAAATTATTGGTAGGTTAATGCCCTGCCGATCTCGCACTAGAACAGCCGCCAAAACTGTATATTCTTTCCTTTCACATACCGGATCTGGAAGTTACCTAGACAACCGCCAAATACAGACTAGCAAAAACATTGGAAGCGTCTTTTAGAATTAGTCGCGGTTTGTATCCTATTGAAATTGAGCTGTGCAGGAGACAATATTTAGGCCAGTGCTCTGCTTGACCGTAAGTTTCGAGAGGCTTGCACCCAACGAGGCACGTGACGTAATGTATTCCCAAATTGCAACCTGGAACCGAAACGTTATCGCATAGTGAGAAAAAATGCGCTTACACCTCTCAACTTTGAGTCCTTTTGTTTCTCGGAAGCAACCGTGTGTATTTTTTCGTTCATGATGATATGATGCGCTTCAAAGAAAAGCCAAAGCAAAAAGCCAAAGGAGTTTTGTACCGAAAGGCCCCAAATCAATATTCCCAATGACCGCACAAAACGTGGTGACATTGTCCCCGCCTCGGGACGCTAAAAGGGTCATCAATGCAGTGCTTACAATAGCCGGGTCCGACAGTTCGGGCGGGGCTGGAATCGAGGCTGATATCAAGACAATCACTGCGCATAAGACATATGCGTTGACATGTATCACAGCTCTCACGGCGCAGAATACGACCGGGGTCAAGGCCGTAGCAGAAACGTCGAAAGAGCATTTGCGCCAAATCTTGAAGGCCAACTTCGAAGACTTCGTAGATGGCTACGATGGCCCGCACCCATTGAAGGTTGTGAAAACAGGTATGCTTACTTCCAGTGCAGCCGAGGTGCTATCAGAACATCTCCCGTATTTGCATGACAACAATGTGCGCTTGGTAGTTGACCCAGTTATAGTGGCCACTTCTGGGCAAGTGCTTGCCGAAAACGACACAATGCAGCTAGTTTTGCGTGATATCATTCCATCGTCCTTGTTGTGCACTCCAAATTCTGATGAGGCCAAGTTCTTGTGGAAGGCCGTTGAGGGCCAGCTGGTGGACGAACACAGTTTCGACACCGTTGACAGTTTTGTTGCATTTGCCATTGCGCTTCAGAAGAAGTTGCACTGCGAAAACTTGCTCGTCAAGGGGGGGCACGTTCCTTTTTGTGATGGGAAGAGACAGCTGGGAAAGAGTGCTCTGTCTCTGCTGGACGAAGAAAACATGGAAATATGCGATATTCTCTATGAGAGCAAGACAGACACAGTGACGGTGTTCAAATCCTCGTACATTCAGACAAACAACAGTCACGGCACGGGCTGCACACTTGCCAGTGCAATCTCGGCAAACCTTGCCAACGGGAAGACGCTTGCACAGGCTGTGGCGCTTTCTATACACTACATCCATAAGGGTATGGTGACAGTGGAGGGAAAGTTGGGGCACTGCAACGGGCCATTGGATCATGCTGTCGAGCCTCCTTCAACTTTCCTCGGTGTCTCAAACGGTGAGGCCTGGGACGTGAGCGCAGAGCACGGCACGTTCTTCAACTACTTCAAAAGCCATCCGTTGGTCAGGGAAGGCTGGGAGAGGTACACGAAGCATCCGTTTCTCGAACTCGTTGCGACGAACAGCTTGCCTTTCGATGACTTCTTGTACTTCCTCAAGCAAGACTTCTACTACCTTGTGAACTATGCTCGAGTCCACGGCTACGCAGCGTCGGTGGCTCCAGATTGCGAGCAGATTGAGGCACAGACCAGAATCATCGCGAGTATCATGACCGAGATCGAGCGCCACAAGGACAAGCTCTCGAAGAAATACAACATCGACTACAACAACGCCGACTTGGACGCAGAGCTCCGGCCTGGCCCTGCGTGCGTCGCTTACTGCGACTACTTGACCAAAATAGCCCGTGACCAGGACTTCGCCGCCATTAAGGTTGCTGTGGCCCCGTGTTTACATGGATATGCTGAGGCGGGCTTACATGGCCTTGAGATCCGCAAGCACTTTGACGGACAACTCAACCAATTGGACAGCCAAGAGCAGAGCGATATATATTCCGCGTGGCTCGATGACTATGCGTCGGATTGGTACCGGGCTGCGCATGACGAGGGCATCCGGGTTTTGGACTCGCTTTTCCTGGGGCAGACTTTGAGCGAGCACCGCAAAGAAGAGCTCTGTACGATGTTCCGTGATGTGGTGGAGCTCGAAGTCGCTTTCTGGGACGAGGTTGTTGACAGAAGCAAGCAGAAATAGACCAAGAATACACAAAAGAGGATGTTTAGAGAATTGACAGAAAAGAATAGACAAGTAGTAGGCGGAAGGGTATTCATGAAAGGGTAAGGAGAGAGCACACAGAGAGTAGAGACGGGAGCAAGCAGAGTAAATAGACCAGGAATATAGATACACATAAGAGAGCGTTTAGAAATTTGACAGAAAAGAGTAGACAAGTAGTAGGCGGAAGAGCACTTCTGAAATGGATAGGAGAGCGCACGCATGCTAATAGCCCCAGGCTTTTAGCTGCGACGAGTCACGTGACGCCCGTGTTGCTTGTCGGACATGGCCGAGGCAATTGTTCTCCAGCAATATAAACGTGTGATTTTCCTAGATATTTAGGCTTTGGCTGGTGGTTTGCTCTTTGCTCTTTTCCATGCTCGTCCCTCATCAGAAAGGATGGACGTTTTGATTATTGCTGTGTGTTTTGGGTTCTGTAGAAGTGCGTGTGGAAGCAATAAGCAGGAGTAAATTGCAAAGCATTACTTTCGTACTTGTCACACAATGGCCAAACATCAATGATTTCAGACAAGAAATGAGAGAATGGAAACGGAAAGGCCAAAGCTAAATAAAAAATTGAAATAAGACAGCTTGAATCATCTTTTAGTCGGTTACTTCAAAGCAATCTTCCTAGCCCTGTGATCCACTGGCTCAGAAAAACAACCAGAGCCGTGCGCTCCGCGAGAGCTGGAGTTATTGACCCCATAAAGGCAGGGTGCACCCGAGGGAGCCGAATTCTCGCCGCATCCGTTTTCGCCTCTTATCAGTTTTATCCTTATCTTGCGTCCTCGCTCGCCGTCCCCTCTTTCTCTTTTCCTATTGTTTTGCTTATATATCCTGGAGGCCACGGTGCCCTGTACCATAGCCACCAAGCGAGAACGTCAAGGCTCGGTCCTGCATGGAGAACTGGCCAGCAACGGCCAGAAATACACCACGTCTCGGGCTTTCGCAGACCAAAAACCAGCAAGCCGGGCTCCTTGCAGCACAAAGACAGGGCCGCCGAGCTCTGCTGCCCAGAATCCCCGTTTTCCAGCACGATTGCCAGGGGTCAATTGACCTGATGTAGCGGTACTGCACACAGCGCACCCGGCGCCCGCGGTGGCCACCGCCCCAGGCGTCCAGATCTCGCATACTCGTCCCTCCGGACGTCCAAGCCCCAGCGAACACCGCCGAAAAGAGCCCAAAAAGCCAAAAAAAAGCCAAAAAAAAAAAGCCAGAAAAGCAAGAAAAGCCCAAAAAGCCAATCTAAATCTCCCCGATCTGAAACCCCAGCCATGTACAACCCGTACCAGCAGGGCGCTTACCCCAACCAGGGGTACCAGCAATATGGACAAGGGTACCCTGCGCAGCCGCAAGCGACCGGGTTTTACCCGGCGGCACAAAACCAGGGCTTCCCACAGCCGCCGCAACCGGGATTGTTCCAGGGCCAGCAGACCGGCTACCAGCAGCAGTTCCAGCCGCAGCAATCGCAGCAGACCCCGCCCGGCTTCCAGCAGCCGCAGCAGACCGGCTTTGGGTTCCAGAACCTCGCGCCAGGCGGCCCCCAGGCAAGCGGGTACGCGGCACAGCAGCAGGCGCCGCTCGCGGCGCAAAAGACCGGCTTTTCCGCGGCGCTCCCCGGCGTGCAGCAGAACCAGGACGTGCACATCCCGAACATCCGGCTCTCGTTCATTTCCGCGGCGGACCAGGTCAAGTTCGAGCACTTGTTCCGCACGGCGGTGGCCGCGGGCGAAAACGCCGTGTCGGGCGACGCGGCACGTGACATCTTGTTGCGGTCCGGGCTCAGCCCGGTCACGTTGGCCGAGGTCTGGGCGTTGGCCGACACCAACAAGCTGGGCTCGCTCTTGTTCCCGGAGTTTGCCTTGGCCTTGCACCTCTGCAACTCCGCGTTGCAGGGCGAGCGCTTGCCCGCGGCCTTGCCCGAGAAGTGGGCCAACGAGGTGCAGAGCTTCGTCGACGCAATCTCGTTTTCCGTGCCGGAGGACCCCAGCAAGGTGCTTGCCAACACCCCGTTCTCGTCTTTCGCGCCCCTGGCCAGCGACTGGCTCGCGCAGCCGGCCGCGCCTGCCCAGGCCTCGTTCTCCCAGCCGGCCGCGGGGCCCCACAGCATGAACGCCTTGTCCTCGCAGAGAACGGGCGGCGGCACGTTGGTCCCCTTGCAGCCCCAGCAGACCTCGGGCTTTGTGCCTGCGTCGCATCCTGTGCAGCCGCAGCGCACGGGGCCCTTGGCTCCGCAGCTCACTGGCTTCTTGCAGCAGCCTCAATTGACTGCTCAGCGGACGGGGACCATTCCTCCCACAAGCTTCCAGGCGCAGGCCACGGGCGGATTCCAGGCACAGGCCACGGGTGGGTTCCAGCCGCAAGCAACCGGAGGGCTCCAGCCCCAGACCAGCTTCCAAAACCAGCAAACTGGCGGCTTCCAACCTCAACAGACTGGGCTCCAGCCCCAATTGACTGGCTTCCAACCTCAACAGACCGGGCTCCAGCCCCAGGCCACGGGCTTGCCCTTGCAGGCGCAGCCAACAGGGAGGCCCGGCGAGTGGGGTTTTGTCCACACTCCCACAGGCGGAATTCCAGGGTTGAGCGCCATGCAGCAGCACTTCTTGCCGTCCGCTCAGCTCCCCTCAAACAACCTCCAGGACGCCATGGGGGGCTCGTTGAAGAACAATGTCACCTGGGCCATCACCAAGCAAGAGAAGCTGATCTACGATGGGGTCTTTGCTGCCTGGGACAAGTTTAGAAAGGGGTACATTGACGGGGATGTGGCAATCTCCATCTTCGGCAAGTCTGGCTTGGGCAGACCCGACCTCGAGACCATCTGGAACTTGTGCGACTCCAACAACAGAGGGAAATTGAACAAGGACGAGTTTGCCGTGGCCATGCATCTTGTCTACCGTAGATTGAACGGGCTCGAGATCCCATTAAGACTTCCTCCTGAATTAGTACCTCCCTCCTCCAAGTTGCTCCAGGACTCCGTGGAGTCCATGAAATCGTCGTTGAAAGGTGGCTCGGCGGCGAGGAAGGCCCCCGCTCAAGCGAAACCCCCCTCAAGTGCCACGCGGTTCAAGAACGACGACGACAATGTTTCTTACACTTCCAGCTCACGCCACAGAAGCAGAAACCCGACTGAGAAAACAACAAGTAGTGTGAAGTCTTCGTCATCGAAAGACTTGACTATCGAAGATCTCAAAAAATTGATTCGCGAGAAGAAGATCCTATTAGACGCTGCTGATTCCGAAGATCAGCATAACTCTATTGCTGCAAGGAGAGTTGAAGAGAGCAATGCTAGGGATATCGAGAGAACAAAAGCCCAATTGAGAGACGTTCAGTCCCAGTTGAATGCCTTATCAGCTGGAGGAACTGAAGCCGAAAAAGCAGATCTTTTCACAACCTTAAACCACCTCACCAAAGATACTGTTCCAAATTTGATCTCGAGGATTTTCCAAGTTACCTCGGAAATCTCCAAAGCCAAGTCCGAGTTAGCAAAGGCGAGTCTCAAGAAAAAATACCCCGACTGGAATCCAGAGAATTCTGATTCGGGCATAGAAGCAACTGGTCCCAATGGAGAGATTACTGAGAGTGACAGGCGTAAGTTCAAGTCAAAGCAGCTTTTGAGACAAAGAATGGCGGCTCTTACTGGGAAACCATATTCTGAAGACTCGAATTCTGATGCAGAAATGCAATGGAAACAAATGTCAGAAACTGCGGACAAGGAGAGGGAGGCTCAATCTGCCATGATTAAAGATATTGAAACAAGTATCAAGGACTTGGAGGAAGGCGCTGCAATTCATTTGGAGGTTTCTGAGAAATCTTCTTTGGGATCTAACAAATGGGAGAACGGAGAAGGCGTATCGTCAACCTTGAGAAATTTCATCAACGAATTGAAGAATTTCTCAAAGCCTCAACCGAAAGCATTGCAAAATAATGCCAATGAATCTTACCAAAACTCAAGAATTCTGACTCCCGCACAGCAAGCTCCAAAGGAAAATAAGCCAGCGTACAGCACACCGGAGGAAAGAGCTGCCTACATAAAACTGCAGGCCGAAAAGAGAATGAATGACCGATTGGCGAAATTGGGAATTTCTAGAAACAGAAATTCTAGTTTTGGGGCACAAAACAACACTAGTCAACCCAGCATTTCACAGAAACCCGAAGAAAAGCTTCCAGAGCAAGCAGCACCAACACAAGAAGCCAAGAAGGTCGTCAGTCTGACAAATGTGGGCGCATCAGAACAAGCACCGGGGAATCCGAGTGAAAAAAAATCAATGAAGTCTGAAGATATTGAAAGTAGTGACGACGAAGCGGATGAAGAATATGAGGCCCTCTTGAGGCAAAAGAAGGAAATGGAGAGAAAAAGAAGAGAAAAAGAACTCAAGAAACAAGAGAAGGAGGCGAGATTGGCAAAACTAAAGAAGGAGATGGAGCTCATGGAACGTCAAGACGATGACTGGAGTGACAATGACATCGAAAGCCAGCCAAAAGTTCCTCTGTACAATCCGAGCAACGTACCTTTGGACAAGCCAGATACTGCGAAGGCAACCGCTATTCCAAGAGAGACATCTGATGTCCCCTCAAATGCTACGTCGATCGAGAAGCCTGAGACGAAGCTTGACATTGAACCTGATGCAAAAAGTGAGCCAGCTGATCAGATCCCGAAACCATCCAACAACGAAGCCAAACAGCCACATAAGAGCAATCCTTTCTCTCGTTTTGGTACGAATACTGGCTCGTCTTCTACATCGAATGCGCCATCATCGAGCACTAATCCTTTTTTCAAACCCAATCAAGTCGATAAACCTCTTGACCAAAAGAAATTAGATGCACAAAGAGCATCTCAGAGGGGGTTGGATAACGACGATTGGAGCGACGATGATCAAAAGAGTTCAGATGAAGAGGGTCCAAACAGAGCGGGCGCAGCAAAGTTGGCCAGCTTGCTTTTCGGCGGAATGCCTCAACCAGTATCAAAAGACCCAACTGGAAGCTATCAGACGAAGGCTACATCACAAACTCTGGATCCTGTGAATCAACATGAAACAGAACAAGAGGAAAAGTCCCTGGAGCCTGAATCAGATGACGAATTTGCCACCCCGTCTCCAGAATCGGCCCCAGCACAGTCACCAAACATTTCCCCAGCTCAAGAGCTACCAGCGGCTATTCCTAGTCAAGCTCCTCCTATTCCAACTGATGTCCCTCCTATCCCTTCAACTGCGCCCCCCGTGCCAACTGAGGCGCCACCTAGAATGGAAGTGGCCCCTTCACCTAACCACGGCGGACCCGAATCATCAGTCCCACCATTAAATGTACCACCTCCACCACCACCTCCAGGACCACCGCCACCGGGGCCACCTCCCCCACCATCATTTGTACCACCGAGCGGAGGTGAGTCGCTCCCCAAACCTAGCGGTCCACTGGATATTGGAGCTTTGCTTGGTCAAATACAAGGAGGCAAGTCTTTGAAGAAAGTGAGTGAAAATGAGAAGCATATTGCTGATGCAGCAGTTGTTGGAAGGGTGTTGTAGCCCTAAATGACATTGTAGTTCAATTTATAATAATTCATAGTATCTTCATTAATAATGTCTAGCTAAATATTTACAGTGTTGTAGTGCAGACCAGCTGAAATCAGATTAAACATCATGGATAACCTCAGTCTCTGAATGGTTGGGTGCGATAAAGACTTTTTTGTCTTTCAACGATATGTTGACATGTTCGCCTTCTCTAACTTGTCCCTTGATCAAAAGCATTGCGAGTGGGTTTAATACTTCTTTTTGCAAAGTTCTGTTGAGAGGCCTGGCACCGTAGACGGGATCATATCCTTTGTCAGCCAAGTAGGCCTTAACTTCATCTGTGAGCGATAAAGAGATGCGCTTGTCACCGAGTCTTTCTTGAATTTCTTCCAACCTGATATCGAGAATATTTCTCAATGAAGACTTAGACAACCTGTTAAACACCAAGACGTCGTCAAGACGATTCAAGAACTCTGGCGGATAGTAATGACGCAAATTCTCAGTTATTTCTTTCTTGACGGAGTCTTTGATAGCGCCTTCATCATTAGCGTCTTTATCGGCCAATAAAATTTCTTGCCCAATATTTGACGTCATAACGATGATTGTGTTTCTAAAGTCAATGTGTTTTCCATGAGAGTCTGTCAAAGAGCCCTCGTCGAGAACTTGCAACAAAAGTTTCGAAACGTCCTTGTGCGCCTTCTCGAACTCATCGAATAAAATAACAGCGTATGGTTTCCTTCTCACTGCTTCAGTCAATTCGCCACTGTCTTCATAGCCAACATAGCCTGGAGGAGATCCAATCATACGCGAAACGGAGTGTTTTTCTTGGAACTCCGACATGTCGAACCGAATTACAGACGACTTATCGTTGAACAAAAACTCGGCCAATTGTTTGGTAAGCTCGGTTTTTCCTGTTCCAGTGGGCCCAAGAAACATGAAAGATGCTATGGGCCGCTTGTCACTCGTGAGCCCGGCTCTTTGCAAACGCACAGCATCTGAAACAGCGTGGATAGCCTCATCTTGACCTACCACATGCTGCTTCAAAATAATTTCCATGTCCAATAACTTGTCCTTCTCTCCTTTCATGAGGTTGTTAAGGGGAATACCTGTCATTTTTGAGATCACACCCGCAATGTCATCTGATGTCACAGAATCGTGGAGGAGAGACGACGATTTCATGTTGTCTTCAGTCTCGGTAAATTCCCTGACTTGTTTCTCGAGAAGCGGGATCGTAGAATACTGCAATTCTGAAGCCTTGCCGTAGTTACCAGTTCTCTGTGCGTGGTCCAAATCAAAACGAGCCTGCTCCAAGTCGCTTTTCGCGTCTTTGATCTTATCAATAACCTTCTTTTCCGCCTCCCATTGTTCGGTCAAGATTTTCAATTCAGCTTCTTTCACCGCGAGTTCCTCTTCTAACTTCTTCGTACGGTCTTCAGACATCTTGTCTTCTTCCTTTCTGAGGGACTCCAACTCAATGTGAATCGTCATGATCAGCCGGTCCAACTGGGCAATTGCATCGGGTTTGGACTCATGCTGCAACCGCAAAGTCGAGCATGCCTCGTCAACCAAGTCAATTGCTTTGTCAGGCAAAAAGCGATCAGTTATATACCGATTGGAATAGAGTGCCGCAGTGACCAAAGCGCTATCAGCCACACGTACTCCATGGTGAACTTCGTATTTCTCCTTGAGTCCTCTCAAAATCGAGATGGTATCCTGTACCGTGGGCTCGTGAACAGACACGGGCGAGAATCTTCTCGCTAACGCAGCATCCTTTTCCACATATTTGCGGTATTCCTCAGTTGTCGTAGCACCACAAAGTGAGAGTTTACCCCTTGCCAACGCTGGTTTAAGCAAGTTGGATGCGTCGATAGAGCCCTCTGCTTTACCAAGTCCCATGAGCAAATGCAACTCATCCACGAAAAGAATAACAGAGCCTTTCTTCTCCTCCACTTCGCTAAGAATCTTTTTGAGTTTCTCCTCAAAATCACCGCGGAACTTAGCACCGGAGATGATTCCGGCTAAATCCAACGTAATGATCTTCTTCTCCTTCATGGATTCAGGTACCTCGCCTTTCAAAATCCGCTGGGCAAGACCTTCCATGATTGCCGTTTTTCCCGTACCTGCGCTTCCAATGAGAACAGGGTTGTTCTTTGTCCGGCGTGACAAGATTTGAATCGTTCTGCGAATCTCCTCATCTCGTCCAATAACAGGGTCAAGTTTACCATCCTTTGCCAATTGCGTCAAGTCTGAGCCGTACTTCTCTAATGCTGGCACGTTATCGTCATCCTTTTTCTGGAATTGGAGATGCTTGCGTGCACTTTGATGAAACAGTCTCACCAGGGACAACGCAGGGCTAGCTATGTTAAGCGAGGTTTTTCCAAAAGTGTAGATTCTGGGGGAACTTGAGGATACCTGACTATACAACGTGGGGCTTTGATGTGCGTGCGGAAGTAACACCGCAGGCGCAAGGCCAAGATTTGTGGACTCTGCCTTGTGCGCGAGTCTGGATAAATTTTTATGTAGATTTGAGGATCTCAACATTTTTTGAAATAATTGTTCTGAACTTCTCAGATTCTAGATATCGTTCTTCAGGACTCAAGAGGATCTGTGAGATAATATATATTGCGCGAGACATTCTAGGGTCACATGACTAGAAGGTGCTGGAAAGTGCGAGAACCCCAGGTCCAATTAGCTATTTTAGAAGGCAGAAGAAGCAATTATAAGCGGAGAGAACTCAAAAAAAACTTCTGAAGAAACTGGTGTGTATAGGATCCGGCATTATCGACAGGGTTTTGTTTTTTGAGATATCATCCTGCGTTATATTTTTGCAGCAGCGGAAAGGACCCTCAAGATTTCTCTCTGGGTGAGCATTTTAAACTCTGTTTTTCGCCTTTCTGGGGCAAGTGAAAAAGCCCAACAAACTCTAAGAAGACGTGCATGTAGAACACAAGTCCCCAGAACCTTCTTGTAATTTTTTTTGCTGGGAATATATAAATGCCTTATTCGAAGAACCGATGTCGCCAGGTACATTACTTGGAATTGGCACTAGGAGGAACTCCTCCCCGTGACCCCGACGCGGTTTAATGCGGCGTAAGGTTTCTCCAGATGCATTCTGCATGTAACGTTTATAGATCGGATGATTCATGTTTTGCAATTTCTCTCTCGGAATTTGCGGAACGAGGGGAATGCAGTGATACAAACTGGAAATAATTTCACGTTATGGAACACATAGTGCGCTACTTCTGTTCTTGTTTTTAATAGATGAAAATATTCTGACACTTTGCTACGTTATTTGATTTTCTATTCGCCTCCCGAATTCCGCTGTCATTTTTGGAGGAGGAGTTCCGCCCAGACTGAGTTTGACCAGGGCATTTGCTTCCATTTCAGAAGAAGTTCGGTACTTTGAAAGTTCAGCCAACTTCCTGAAAATCCCTTCACATATGAAGCTTGGGCGCTTTTGCTCCGAAAGAAATGTGCAGGTAAAGCAAGTGACGACAGCTCATACGAAGTGCCTTGGTTTTGTAGCACGTCTAATTCAAGACTAAATTGAAACTTATGAGAAGGATTGTTCTGAAAATAACTTCTGGTGCATTTCTTGGCTCACTTCGCTTCCAAGTAAGGAACCCAATATCTTGTTTTATTGAATGCTCAGAGTCCAATTAAAAATCTCCTCAAATCAATTTTCTGGGGGATGCTGTATTGAGACAGCTTTGCCGAAATCCCGAGTGCTCTTCAGTGGGTATGTGGTCAAATGACCACATCACCCTGGCTTACTGACTCCAGAATGCTACACAGGAATGTTTGTAATTGGCAAAGCATTTCTTGCGCATAGTTTGTTTGGTTAGTCGTGGTCAAAAATGGTGAGGCGTTCTGAAATCTCAGGAGTCCGAACTCCAAGACAAAGCACATATTCTCGTCTTGAGTCCGATGAGTTAGTTAGTGGTTTCCTTAAGAAACTGGTTTCTCGGAAGGTGTTCTTGACTTTAACCAGAATGTAAAAACATATATGTAGCGACAAATGGATGGATGACTTTTTTTCCATGATTTATTTAAGGGAGGAACAAAATCATACAATTGTATAAAAAACTTTGAAGCAGCTCTTAGTTACGTACCTAGTGTCTGGAAGAGTCCCATTGCCTTCTGATATTCACAGATGATTTTTTTTTTTGGTATTTTTTTTTTTTTTTTGG